AGAACATTTTAAATAGTTACTAAGAAATTGATAATTTTTTTTAAATAATGAGGTGATTTTGAATTTTAATGCAGCAAAAAAAAATCTCCAAAATGCTGAGATTGCCTTGTCTGCACGATCCGATTCCAGACGTGTAAACTGCTCGTCAGAGGAACTAATGCACCCCCATGCCATCAGAGAGGCAGGCTTCTTAACTGCACACTGATAACAGGCTGGTATGAAGAACGTGGTGTTTAAAATTTAAAATTGAAATTTCAATTTGTCTGACTCCTAGATTTTCATTTACTTTCACAGCCGTTTGTCGATTTCTACTTTTTAAACGTGTTGCTGCCGCAAAAGTTTAAAAAAATTACTTTTTTTCCCAAAAATTGTGAATATTCTTCATGTTTGACCATTATTTTTAGACGTATTAGGCTTAAATTTGATGTCATAGCTGAAATCAATCCCCATCATATACCGTATCCAAATCCAAGATGGCTGCCAAAGCTAAAAGTAAAAAAATACTAGTTTCATTGTTATTAATGTGTTTTGTATATCATAGCATTCAGTTTTTATTTACCTTGTCCGAATATGCTGTTGTTACATAAAGTAAAGATAAAAATAAAAAAGCCAGAAGCTTGTTTTGGACCCGTCTGCTGCTCCCAGCCTGTGCAGACGTCCTGCAACAATCTGAGGGAAAAGTGGAAACCGTCCAGATTCCCGTCTGGACCTTCTGCACTCGGTCCCTGCTGAGACGTGGCAGCAGCCTCGTTTGGAGCCGGTTCAGCTCTGGGGTCAGGTCTGGGGAGTCACCACAGTTTAGCACCACATTGTTTTCTTCACCATTTATATATGGAAAAAAAAGAAAAGAAAAGGTGTGGCAGAAAATCACAGAGATACTCTGAATGCTTCAGTGTTACACCTTAAAACAAAAACAGACAAGCAATGTGTACGAACAGGACATTTTAATTCAACAAAATCATGTGTAAATAAATACAAACACTAAAAAAACATTTTTTTTAACCAAGGAAGCCAACTTTGTGTCTCTTTTTGCCCAGGCTTTCTTCCTGCTGCAGCAGCTTCATGAGCGGAGCGTGGAGAGCTTTCCCGACTCGTTTCCCCGCCTGCAGACACACAAATAAACGCTGCAGGGTTACTTCTGCTGGAAAAGTTTACTTTTACATTTTAAAAAACMTGACAAGTATAAAGCCAGCGTCGTTGTGCAGCTTTAATTCTCCCTTTTAAACTCAGGCAGGCTAAAAGCAAATGTTTATTAGAGCGAAGAAATCCACTCTGACCTCGGTCATCTCGAAGACGCTCTCTGGATCCAGGCTGCCCCCGCCCACCTTCCTGGCGCAGGTGACCGTTCCTTTTTGAGTGACGGAGATGATGAGGCTCGCCACGGAGCAGGTCTTCTCCTGCAGCGTGGCGTCCACCACGTGCCTGTGTCCCACCTGAAACACAGACTGGCGTTTAGCCCTCGCGCGAGAACCACGTCCACCTGCGAGCGCCGGCAGAACGCTCACCTTGCACAAAGTCACGACGCAGGGAACGTTCTCCACGTTGAGTCTCATGCAGTCGAACGGGTCGTCGGACAGCTCGATCTCTTTTCCTCCCTCATCGTCCGATGATATGTTAACTCTGGGAATTCTGTTAGTGGGGCGATCGGAAGACCGTTCAATTAAAACGAGTTAATTAGACGCAAATTAAAAACTCAAAACCATCCTCACTTTGTGTTGAAGAGAGCTGCCTTGATGGCAACTGACATGGCATCGTACAAGTTTCCATCACACTGAAGAAGCTGAGGAGGGAACACAAAGTGAGATTTTTGTTCTAAATGACATATACATACATACATATATAT